AACCTAAACAGTACAAACAGAAAACATAATGTAATAAAACGGTAGGGGTGAATTTATTATTCCATACATTTGAGGTTAATGTGTGTACTGGGCTACTTTTTAGTTACAGCAGCTATCACTGTGTTGTTATGAAGTCAGTTGTGCCAGACAATTTTGGAGGCAGAAACAGATTGTGGGGGGCACTATAGGGAAAAACTTAAACTGTTGGAATAAAGAGTTTTAAAGGGTTAGTGATGGAAAACTTGCAGGACAATGGGCATCAGTGTTTAAGGTTGGTAAACACGTGTACACGGACACATATAATACTACCCGCCTGACATTGGCATGTGTTATTCAGGTGTCAAAGTTGTGCAGAGTTGAAGGAAGAAACCTCAAAGACAGTGCCAGAAGGATGCTGGACAGGTAAAGCCTACAAAACGTGCCACATTAATCAAACATTGTGGTGTAAATACTCAATAAGTTACAACGCAAATCAGAAATTTAAAGAATTCCTTTACTGGTCATTTTGAAATGTCAAACTTTGTCTGCAATTGTTAACCACCTCAATCTGTATTATATTTTAGGGTTTTAAAAAAATTCCCTCATGTCCAAATTCAACATGAAGGGGGTGGTCCACTGCAGAAAGAGGCATGTGAAAAGACTGCATTGTTCATTAGAGGTATGTGTATAAAACACACAACATTTACCAGAGAGCTTCTCTCTTTTTTAACACACTAAATGGTGATACACTATATATCTCGTTTTTGTTTTTAGTAGGCATCCAAGCAAAAGAGAATGACTCCCTGTCACAATTAGTGTAATTAAAGTAACAAATTATGTCAAGCTTTTCTTGTGCTTTTTTTTCTTATTTGGCAGATGCTGTGATGACCAACTTCCCGGCAGCAACAGAGTTGGACTTGAGGAATGCAGTTGGGAGGCATTTTAAACCAGAAATAAAACCAATAATTAATAATTTCCTTTAAGTTCACTGTTGGTTGTTTTATTCGTTAAAAGTAAACCAACAAAAGGGTTAATAATTTTTTATGTTGTCATTTATCCATAATGTTTTAATGTTAAATGTGATAACATGCTCTTGATTTGTATTAGATTTTTTTATTTTAAATATCTTAAGTTATTTAAAATATTTTATTTTTTCATTTTTATATTTTTATTATCTTAAGTTGTTAAAAACTCCAGATTTTTTTTATCATAATATTTATATTTAAGTGTATTGTATTTATAACATTTTATTTTGTCATTAATTCTTTTGTATTTTTATCATTTTGTATTGTCTTAAGTTGTCCAAGTTGTTAAAAATGTTATTTTTCTTAATAAAAGCTGTATGTATGGATTGCCATTTTGTTGTCTATTAGACGTATATATGTAGTCGTTTAATAGCCGTCTAATTGATGACTAGTCTATTCTTGGGCTATGATTAGACGTCTATTAGATTTTCACTGACAGCCCAAATTTAGCCTCGTTTTAGCCTAGATGTCTAGGCCATATTTAGACGTCTAATAGACGTATTTTAAACGCAAAATTTCTTGCTGGGAACAAACAGGAAGTGACGAAACAGAAAAACCCATAACTATGAATATCTGTAAAGTTTCTATACTTAAAGCCCTCCCAGATACTGAATTGCCCCCCCCCCCCCCCCCCCACTTATTACTTTATATTTGCTTGTATGTTTTGAAGCTTCCGAAACTCAGTATTTTAACAACTAAACTAGGTCCAGAAGCTAGTTCGCATTAGTCACAATACAAGAAAAACACAGATATGTTGCTATGAGGTTGCTAGGCTATGCATATGTCTTGGGTCACTCCTTCAGTGTAAAAGTCTATCAGATTTTTCCACCTGTTTTATCGTCTGCTAAAAAAGGCATAATTGCTTAGTAAAGTAACAGCACACTTCGTGTCAACAAACCGCATGATTTGAGAGATCATTCATGTCCATCACACAAACAATGCAGGATGCGTTATGGCCTGACATTTAATACTTGGGGTTTCTTTTTGTTCGTGACATTCTAGAAATAGTGACTGTGTTAATCAACATTATATGGCATCCACAGGAAAACAATGACTCTAGGTGTATAATATGTTCTTGACCTAAGGTAATTTATTCCACACCTGTTCTCCAAAATGTTTTTTAAGTCATAGAGAATATCCTTAGTCATATGCATTTCATAAAACCGAAGGGCACTTCCATGGAAATGTCAAGCATACTATGGAAAAACTATCTTATAAAACTGCACTGCGTTAGAGTGCTATACCTGATTTTTAAAGTAAATTGCATCGTTCATCCACCACACACAAGGTGTGCTCCAAAAAGAATTAAAGGATTAATTATTTTTTTTTCATTTCAGTTCATTTTATCATTAAGAACTTTCAAGAAAGACATGATGTCCGAGCTGGTTTTAAGTCATAGAGAATATCCTTAGTCATATGCATTTCATAAAACCGAAGGGCACTTCCATGGAAATGTCAAGCATACTATGGAAAAAAATATCTTATAAAACTGCACTGCGTTAGAGTGCTATACCTGATTGTTAAAGTAAATTGCATCGTTCATCCACCACACACAAGGTGTGCTCCAAAAAGAATTAAAGGATTAAATTTGTTTTTCATTTCAGTTCATTTTATCATTAAGAACTTTCAAGAAAGACATGATGTCCGAGCTGGTTTGAGCTATATTAGTGTTTAGCTGAGAAGCAGACCAGTCTGAGACCAGCCTGGGGTTTGAGAGTTTGTTTTTGTTTTCCCAGCATGGCATACACTACCTTTTTCACTATTCCAGTAATTTCTTTGAAACACTAAACTGTCCCGACTCCTGAGCAAAGCTCAGACCTGAACCCTACTGAACACCGTTGGGATGGATTGTAACAGTGAGACTGACTGATGCTTTTGTGTACGTTTTGTCATCATTTTTCATTGTCATGTAAAACTCAGCAAAATTTTTTGAAAATGCACAATAAACCTGCTTTTAACGTCTTCTTTTGTAACAGGCTTTTATGAAGCATCATAAAAATGTTCTACAGGTCTGTTACGCCTAAAATGCTGTCTGAATGCACAGCGCAAGCCTAAAGGTGAGTAGTAATACTTCGCTTTTGACAAAACGAAACACACTATGCTTTACCCTAGATGGTTTTGAAGTCATATACCAGGCCTTTTCACAGTTTGATACACTAGTATTTATTACTTTTAAGATAATTTCTTATGAAGTCAAGCATTGCATGTGTCTTCCAATAATTCCAGGACAAAACCTTATTTCGATCCTATTTTGAAAGTGTGATTTATTTCATTCGTATCTTGCATGTGTTGCTGATGAGTTGAGAACTGTTAGGACTTTCAAATTTCATATTTACAAAATATTTATATTTAAGACAGCAGCAATGAGTAACACAATTTTGTATAAATATTGAGTAATCCAAACTTTACATCAATGATAAAAAAAAAAAAAACTGAGTTGACTTTATTCATGTTTCCTCGTTCCATGTGGACATGTAGGACCTATGCGGTCTTTTAAGGTGTGGATTGACCTGTTTTGTGTTGATGTTTCTTGCTTTTTATTGAAAATCAAATCACGAAAGAGTATACTCAATGAGCATGCCAGGCACGGTTTGATCTTCGGCTGACCAATTAGCAGAAAGGGTTGTTTAATTCCCGCCCACGTGTAGAAATGCAATATTCAAGCCGTTTATAAATTTTTCTACCCCTGAACGAAAAACTAAGATTTTCTACTTTCAATATTAAATAAAATTTTGTGTACGTTTTGTCATAATTTTTGCAGCTCATTTTTGTTGCATGTATCTGCTGCAGTTGTACGGATTAATAACCCATTTTATCAATTTCATATTTTTCTCATCAAACAGACTAATGAATAGCTCGACAACTCATACCGAGGCAGAGTCTAGACAGGTCTTTCTTCTGTGTAGACCAGCGGTTCTAAAAGTGGGTCTATTGCTATAATTGCTATAGCCCAAAGTATTTCCAGACTGTAAAGTCGCTTTTTTTTAATCATGATACATAGGCCTACTGTGATTTATTCCAAAGTAACTTATATGATGCATTTAACGTCAAATAATCTAAATGAAGCCTTTTAAAAGACGAGTATTCTCTGTAGTTCATGTTTGTGGCGTGTGCCGGAAAGATGCTCAAGGAGACCGAGACGCGCTAAAGCAGCGCATTCTGTTGTTCTCTTTATTTTTCAAAGGCATGACATTTTGTAGTTATTTTGAACGTAACGTTACATAATTAAAAATATACATTTGATCATAGGACTATAAATGACAGAGTATTAAGTTATTTCCCCTAGATGGGAAAAAAATCCAAGTGAACATCAATTAGTACTCTTAATTAGTAATTAGTAATATTAATTTAAACTGCTTTAAATATGACTGCTGCTTATTTCCTGTGCACTTCAATACTGGTCTGCGCTTGACTGTAGTCGCGTCTGTCTGCTTATTGAGTTTATTTAACCCATCGCAATTTATTGGAACTGTGTGAACTAGAGTGACTACTCACCTTGTTCAACGTTGTTCTAAAGGCTTATTACTTAATAACACAAATATGTCCTGCTCGCATTTGACAATTTAATGGCAGAGAATGGTGACTTTAGTTTTTTTTTTTTTTTTTTAAGCGGATGCATATTTGTCATAAAATAAACTTAATAACACAAATATGTCCTGCTCGCATTTGACAATTTAATGGCAGAGAATGGAGACTTTAGTTTTTTTTGTTTTTTTTTTAAGCGGATGCATATTTGTCATAAAATAAACCTATGCATCTCGTGGCGTATATTCCAAGCATTCTGAAGGTATACTGAGGGTTTGGTGAGAAACAAACCGAAATGGCAAGTTATTATATTTTATAAAACTCGTGCGTTGCAGTGCGAGTGCGCAGCAGCTCATGCTGCACTCAAGTGCATATCCTTTTGAGATATCAATTATAATCAATTTTAATAAAACACAAAACTACATTATATAACTCTAACAGTAGGCTATTTCATATCTGTTGTTCTCCGGTTGTCAGTCAGAATGGCAGTTCTTGCATGAACATAGGCCTGTATATACCCAAGCCAATTTATTATTCTTTCCTTTTTGTCTTAGTGTTTAAAATATTTATTTTGAAACTAATTCATTAATTAATTTCTTAATTAAACAAACAGACGTACTGGGTGAGCAGGGTAGGCTATGACAGCTGTCACATCATACCCTGCCATGCCCAGCTGATGCAAAGAATAGAATTTATATCTACACGGAAGAAAGCCCTGTCTAGACTCTGCCCCGGTATGAGTTGTGTCGAGCTATTCATTAGCCTGTTTGTTTGATGAAAAAAGATTAAATGTAGTTGCAATAAATGCGTTAAGAATCAATACAACTGCAGCAGTGGAGGACTATTATTCTGCTGCATGATCCTACGGAAGAACTGATTGATCTTCAGCTGACCAATCAGCAGAAAGGGGTGTTTAATTCTCGCCCACGTGTAGAAATCGAATATTCAAGCTGTTTATTCATTTTTCCACCCATGAACGAAAAACTAACATTTAAGATGAATTTTTGTTTTTTTGGAAAAAAACGAAAAAAGAGCCCTTTTCTCAATTTTCTACTTTCAATATTAAATCAAAAAACGAATGATCGAATGATACACGGATTATTATGCACTGACCCCGGTCTCATAGCTGAAATCTGATCAGATTACTTCTGAACAACTGGCCCCAGATGTTGAGTGGAATCTTGTGTTCAATTAGGGAGTCGTCAAAAATGACTAATACTTAGAATAAATTGCATTAAACCTACTTACATAAACGGACCATGACTGACAGATACTCTGTTGAAGACAAAAGAGAGTAAGTCAATAGAAAATATTTATAAAACACCATACCTGAGCGAATAAT